GGGACGGGCCCGGGAGGGTGGTGGTGGTGGGACGGGCCCGGGAGGGTGGTGGTTGTGGTGGGACGGGCCCGGGAGGGTGGGTGGTGGTGGGACGGGCCCGGGAGGGTGGTGGTGGTGGTGGGACGGGCCCGGGAGGGTGGTGGTGGGACGGGCCCGGGAGGGTGGTGGTGGTGGGACGGGCCCGGGAGGGTGGTGGTGGTGGTGGGACGGGCCCGGGAGGGTGGTGGTGGTGGTGGGACGGCCCCGGGAGGGTGGTGGTGGGACGGGCCCGGGAGGGTGGTGGTGGTGGTGGGACGGGCCCGGGAGGGTGGTGGTGGTGGTGGGACGGGCCCGGGAGGGTGGTGGTGGGACGGGCCCGGGAGGGTGGTGATGGTGGTGGGACGGGCCCGGGAGGGTGGTGGTGGTGGGACGGGCCCGGGAGGGTGGTTGTGGGACGGACCCGGGAGGGTGGTGGTGGACGGGCCCGGGAGGGTGGTTGTGGTGGTGGGACGGGCCCGGGAGGGTGGTGGTGGTGGGACGGGCCCAGGAGGGTGGTGGTGGTGGTGGTGGGACGGGCCCGGGAGGGTGGTGGTGGGACGGGCCCGGGAGGGTGGTGTGGTGGGACGGGCCCGGGAGGGTGGTGGTGGGACGGGCCCGGGAGGGTGGTGGTGGTGGGACGGGCCTGGGAGGGTGGTGGTGGTGGTGGGACGGGCCCGGGAGGGTGGTGGTGGTGGGACGGGCCCGGGAGGGTGGTGGTGGGACGGGCCTGGGAGGATGGTGGTGGTGGTGGGACGGGCCCGGGAGGGTGGTGGTGGGACGGGCCCGGGAGGGTGGTGGTGGGACGGGCCCGGGAGGGTGGTAGTGGGACGGGCCTGGGAGGGTGGTGGTGGTGGTGGGACGGGCCCGGGAGGGTGGTAGTGGGACGGGCCTGGGAGGGTGGTGGTGGTGGTGGGACGGGCCCGGGAGGGTGGTGGTGGTGGTTGAATAATTGTGGTGCTTACCTATCCGTGTCTACGGGGGAGTGACGTTTAACTCATTACGCTCCACCTGCAATTTGATCTTTTCTGTATTTCAAATTTTTCGCCGAATATTTTCATGAAGTTGTGGGTGGAGGTGGCTCTCCCGACTTCTTCCTTAAGTGCATTCCACTTATTAACTACTCTCACCTGGTTCCAGTATTTACTTACATTCTTTCGGATCATTTACATTTCCAGCCACCACTTATGTCTTCATTAATTTTACAGAAAGAAGGTTATCCTTACCCACCTTGTTGATTTTTCCCTCAGTATCTTGTATGTAGTGATCATATCCCTGATGATTCTTCTCTCCCCTAGAGTTGAGAGATCTAGTTCCTTTACCCTATTCTCATAGCTCAGTTTTGACACTAATCTTGTTGTATACCTTTATTCTTGCATGTTTTTGTGTATATATTTCACAAGACCAGTGTTTCAGTCCGGTGTTACATATCTTGCTGCAGATCTAACGTAGGATATGTAGAGTGCCTTCAAGAAGTCTTGATTTGGGTTTCTGAAAGACATTTAAATGTTTGCCAGCGTCACATATGCTGCTGATGTTACTCTGTATATGTGTGCCTCTGGTGTTAGTTAGTCGGAATTATATCCACTACCAAATCTTTTTTTCATGTTTCGAATTTGTGCAGTTGTCATCTCCTTATGGTGTAGATACCTCTTGGTCTCGAGACTTTCTCTCTTCTTCATCTTCATTACCTTACATTTTCGGGGATTAAATTCCACCAACCATTTGTTTGCCCACTCCTATATTTTGCCAATGTAACTATAGATACTATAATTTTTTTTCAATCTTCCCCGGTTTTTACATTCCTCATTAGCTTTGAAACATTTGCAACCATTAGCCTGCACGAGCTCACTCCCTCGGGCAACTGTTTCATATAAACTGTGAAGAGCAGAGGTGCCAGGACCGACCCTTGGGGACCCCCTTGGACCCAGGCCAGAGTCGTCCCAGGTAACCCAGCCCGCCTTCTTAAAGTGATAATACTTATAGTAACTATTTGACCCAATGGGCAATTGTGAGTGGTTGTACAATGGTGCCAGCAATGGTGACATTTTGTACTATTGCTTTGTATAGAGCACAGAAAAAATTAAGACCATAAACTTTGATGTTCTTAGGCTTTATTGTTCCATGTGTACTTTATCAGTCATAAAATTATATCAGGCCTAGGATTGCTTGGACAGGTTAGGTTATCTTAGCTGAGGATAGGTTAGATTAGGTTAGGTTGGGTTAGATTAGGTTGGATTAGATTAGGTTGGATTAGGTTAGGTTCGGTTAGATTAGGTTGGCTGACTCCATATACAGTTTCAAATGTAGAAATGATAGATCCCAGTAGGCTCAAGAATCTGTACACCAGTTGGTTGACAGTTGAGAGGCGGGACCAAAGAGCCAGAGCTCAACCCCAGCAAGCACAACAAGGTGAGTGCAACAAGAGTACACACACACACACACACACACACACACACACACACACACACACACACACACACACACACACACACACACACACACACACACACACACACACACACACACATACACACACATACACACATACACACATACACACACACCACACACACACACACACACACATACACACACACACACATAGGGGCCTCGTAGCCTGGTTATAGGGGCCTCGTAGCCTGGTGGATAGCGCGCAGGACTCGTAATTCTGTGGCGCGGGTTCGATTCCCGCACGAGGCAGAAACAATGGGCAAAGTTTCTTTCACCCTAAGTGCCACTGTAACCTAGCAGTAAATAGGTACCTGGGAGTTAGTCAGCTGTCACGGGCTGCTTCCTGGGGTGTGTGTGTGTGGTGTGGGAAAAAAAAATAGTAGTAGTTAGTAAACAGTTGATTGACAGTTGAGAGGCGGGCCGAAAGAGCAAAGCTCAACCCCTGCAAAAACACAACTAGTAAACACACACACACACATACACGCACGCGTACACGTGCTCCTCCAAACCTGATTGAATTCGCCTCACATTTCTCTCACTTGTGAGATAAAATCTCACTGTAAAACTGTTTTGACCCATTTATTCTGAAGTTACGATAACTGAGACCCGCTAATGAGTTTTCCAAACATTTACTCTGTTTTATGGCTCATGTTTTATATTTGTAGAAAACACGGAATTGAAGTCAGGAGTTACAGGACTTTTCTTGGTCAGGTTATATACTTGTTTTGATTTTTATTTGTAAACGAAAAACTGGATATTGAGTTGCGAAGTTGACTTTGTGGTTGTATTGCCGCCTGCATGTTAGGGACAGTTGTTGTGACCTGCATGTTAGGGACAGTTGTTGTGACCTGTGTGTTAGTGACAGTTGTTGTGACCTGTGTGTTAGTGACAGTTGTTGTGACCTGTGTGTTAGTGACAGTTGTTGTGACCTGTGTGTTAGTGACAGTTGTTGTGACCTGTGTGTTAGTGACAGTTGTTGTGACCTGTGTGTTAGTGACAGTTGTTGGTGACCTGTGTGTTAGTGACAGTTGTTGGTGACCTGTGTGTTAGTGACAGTTGTTGTGACCTGCATGTTAGTGACAGTTGTTGTGACCTGTGTGTTAGTGACAGTTGTTGTGACCTGTGTGTTAGTGACAGTTGTTGTGACCTGTGTGTTAGTGACAGTTGTTGTGACCTGTGTGTTAGTGACAGTTGTTGTGACCTGTGTGTGTGTTAGTGACAGTTGTTGTGACCTGTGTGTTAGTGACAGTTGTTGTGACCTGCATGTTAGTGACAGTTGTTGTGACCTGTGTGTTAGTGACAGTTGTTGTGACCTGTGTGTTAGTGACAGTTGTTGTGACCTGCATGTTAGTGACAGTTGTTGTGACCTGTGTGTTAGTGACAGTTGTTGTGACCTGTGTGTGTGTTAGTGACAGTTGTTGTGACCTGTGTGTGTGTTAGGGACAGTTGTTGTGACCTGTGTGTTAGTGACAGTTGTTGTGACGTGTGTGTTAGTGACAGTTGTTGTGACCTGTGTGTTAGTGACAGTTGTTGTGACCTGTGTGTTAGTGACAGTTGTTGTGACCTGTGTGTTAGTGACAGTTGTTGTGACCTGTGTGTGTGTTAGTGACAGTTGTTGTGACCTGTGTGTTAGTGACAGTTGTTGTGACCTGTGTGTTAGTGACAGTTGTTGTGACCTGTGTGTGTGTTAGTGACAGTTGTTGTGACCTGTGTGTTAGTGACAGTTGTTGTGACCTGTGTGTTAGTGACAGTTGTTGTGACCTGTGTGTTAGTGACAGTTGTTGTGACCTGTGTGTTAGTGACAGTTGTTGTGACCTGTGTGTGTGTTAGTGACAGTTGTTGTGACCTGTGTGTTAGTGACAGTTGTTGTGACCTGTGTGTTAGTGACAGTTGTTGTGACCTGTGTGTTAGTGACAGTTGTTGTGACGTCTACATGTTAGGGACGGTGATGGTGATGACCGCCTGTATGGGAAGGTGTGTATTAACCAGCCCGTCCTCCTAACATGGGGAGGTAAATGTAACAGCACAAGTAAGTACAATTATGTACTATTCCTAGCAGTCAGGAATTGTACTTATCTTCACTTAGTATTAAACTGTACTGCCAAATATATTGTGAATATTTGAGTTTACCTGGAAAGCTGAATAGAAAACCACGACCTAACCTAACCTTCTTAGTGTTTGAAGATAAACATTTTATTGCTTCTTAATTACAATTAGTACTTAACCTATAGCTATACTGATATTACAGTTTTATAAAACTAATAAAACAAAACTCAAATTTATCAATAAATTGTAAAGTAACTCGGGCTATTTTAAAGTTTTGTATAAAATCTCTATTGTTTAATAAAACTGAAAATTAAATTCTTGATATTTAAAACTTGTGTATAACAAATTGAATTTGAAAACTTCATCTTAAATTTCTGAGTCTTACCAGAGAACAAGGAGATTAAATGAGGAGGTAAATGTAACAGCTCAATAAGTGCAATTATGTACTGTGTATGACAAGAAGTTAACACGTGTTTGTGTTTCAGAGTTTCCTGCCGTTCCAGTCCATCTACTGCACGGCGCTCGACCAAGATATTGAGAACAGCTCCCAGCTGAGCCAGACCTGCGCCCTCCTCCACACGCACAAATTTATTGAGGTGAGTCCTCTTGGTTGGTCACTCTGCCTCTTGGTTATGCCGTGTGTGGCCCTCGTGGTTGACCCTCCCTGCCATGTCACTGCGTGTTGGTTATGCCTTGTGTGGCTTTCATGGTTGACCCTCCCTGCCATGTCACTGCGTGTTGGTTATGCCGTGTGTGGCCCTCGTGGTTGACCCTCCCTGCCATGTCACTGCGTGTTGGTTATGCCTTGTGTGGCTTTCATGGTTGACCCTCCCTGCCATGTCACTGCGTGTTGGTTATGCCGTGTGTGGCCCTCGTGGTTGACCCTCCCTGCCATGTCACTGCGTGTTGGTTATGCCGTGTGTGGCGCTGAAGAATGCTGGTTTCGAGGTAGGGATTGTAATTGGCAAAGAAAACGGGTTATTGTCGCGATGACGGTGGCAGGACGCTGTTAACTGGAACGATAACCAGCGTTGATGTAATCAATGTGAGAGAGGGAGAGGGGCACATGCTGGCGCCTTTGACAAGTGTGCAACGAATCAGCAGTCGTCAAGGTCTCTCATTTCAGCTTGATTATCTTGAGATTATCTTGAGATGATTTCGGGGCTTTACTGTCCCCGCGGCCCGGTCCTCGACCAGGCCTCCACCCCAGGAAGCAGCCCGTGACAGCTGACTAACACCCAGGTACCTATTTACTGCTAGGTAACAGGGCATAGGGTGAAAGAAACTGCCCATTGTTTCTCGCCGGCGCCCGGGATCGAACCCGGGACCACAGGATCACAAGTCCAGTGTGCTGTCCGCTCGGCCGACCGGCTCCCTAAAGCTTGTTAGTGATGCCATTCAAGATGGGACTCCATAGATCCCCCCCCCCCTATGGCCTAGTAGACACACTGACCACTTCACTTCATGCAGGGTCGGCGTTCGATTCCCAGTGGACCAAGTAACTTGGCACCGTTCCTTCGCTCATATTCCTGCCCCGTGCCCTCTAGTACCTTAAGGGTGCTATAGTCGTACTACCCGGCGGTGCTCGGGGTAGTTTCTTTACCCCCCCCCCCTATTCCACGCTTCGGTTTTCCATTCACGCCACATCCCTCTCTTCCCCTTTCTTCCCCCCCCCCCCATCTTTCTCCCGTTTCACTCCCCCCCACTCTCTCTCTCTCTCTCCCCCGTCTCTCTACCTCCCCCCCCCCCCGTCTCTCTCTCTCTCTCCCCTCTTCATCTCTGTATCTATCTCATATAAAATATGATTGTCTTCTCATGCCGTATGAGTTCTCTCTGGTGAGAGGAGCTTAGCAATGTGATATATTACAAAATAAAATAGTTACACCATTCACGTTGAGAAATAGCCGGTCTTGAGAAACCTGTGAAGCTGCTCAAGGATCATCTGTTTATGCTACTACAGCCAAAGTGTAAATAGCCGGGAATTTCTGTTAATTTTCCCGAGATCAGTGAAAACTGGTGAATATTACTTTATAATAATAATTGATTGTGTGAGGGAACAGGCAGCATACCACAGGGCAGTATGCTTGCTCCCTTGTTGAGTTATGTATACTTTTGTTGACCAGACCACACACTAGAAAGTGAAGGGACGACGACGTTTCGGTCCGTCCTGGACCATTCTCACAATCGACTTGAGAATGGTCCAGGACAGACCGAAACGTCGTCGTCCCTTCACTTTGTAGTGTGTGGTTTGGTCAACATATTTCAGCCAGGTTATTGTGACTCCTCGTCTGCAATGTGTACTCTAACGACTGCAACAATATACTCTTTAGTAAAGGAAAGAATGACTCCATTCTCTCCTTTCCTAAAGAGAAGCTGAACTTGTTCACTACGCTCATCGGTCATCAACTTGTTCTTACATTTACTTGGAGTGGTCGTTGACGTGGTACGCCTACTGCTGAAAGAACACAAGACCTAGGGCAAGGTGACGCAGGGTGACGCAACATCTAGGGCAAGGTGACGCAAGGTAACGCAACATCTAGGGCAAGGTGACGCAACATCTATGGCAAGGTGACGCAAAGTGACGCAAGATCTAGGGGGCAATCCTGACCCCCTTCCTCGTCCTAGTGTGGCTCGTCTTGACCTAGTACCCGAGACTTGAGCATGGACGAGAAGCCGGCCTTACACTCCAGGTCAACGTTCACAAGATTCATCACTTGCTCCTACTCCTTGTTCGACGAGAGAACAAGAAGTTACTACAACTCAAGACGCTCAGCCACATGTCCTGCACTCTAGCTCTAGGTCTCCAGGATATAACTCCATTAGCCATCATTCATGCCTCGACTGATACGATTTTGGTAAAATATTGTCACAGAAAATGGGTCACAAAGAAGAGAATTGACCTAATGAGACGAGTGAGGCAGAGATGGGCTGGCTCGGGGCTCTTCTTAATACGAATACAACCACAATTACCTAAGGTTTATCTCCATTTAATGTTACGTATACAATACTACTAATAACAATACTGTATAATTATAGTTAAACATTTACTGATATAATAATTCATAAATATAAAATACATCACTATGCTTCAGCAATAATACATATTATATAATATAATACATATAATACATATATACATATATAATATAATACATATATAATACATATATAATACATATATAATATAATACATATACATACGTGTGTATTGCTGTATAGCAATACACACGCAGCGTTACCAACACCACTACTTGGTACAGCGTTCTCATAACTCCGGAGGGAGTGAACGCTGCGGGTAGTGAACGCTGTGGGGAGTGAACGCTGTGGGGGGAGTGAACGCTGCGGGGAGTGAACGCTGAGGGGAGTGAACGCTGTGGGGAGTGAACGCTGTGGGGAGTGAACGCTGTGGGGAGTGAACGCTGCGGGGAGTGAACGCTGAGGAGAGTGAACGCTGAGGGGAGTGAACGCTGAGGGGAGTGAACGCTGTGGGGAGTGAACGCTGTGGGGAGTGAACGCTGAGGGGAGTGAACGCTGAGGAGAGTGAACGCTGAGGGGAGTGAACGCTGCGGGGAGTGAACGCTGAGGAGAGTGAACGCTGAGGGGAGTGAACGCTGAGGGGAGTGAACGCTGTGGGGAGTGAACGCTGAGGAGAGTGAACGCTGAGGGGAGTGAACGCTGCGGGGAGTGAATGCTGAGGAGAGTGAACGCTGAGGGGAGTGAATGCTGAGGAGAGTGAACGCTGAGGGGAGTGAACGCTGCGGGGAGTGAACGCTGAGGAGAGTGAACGCTGAGGGGAGTGAACGCTGAGGGGAGTGAACGCTGTGGGGAGTGAACGCTGTGGGGAGTGAACGCTGAGGGGAGTGAACGCTGAGGAGAGTGAACGCTGAGGGGAGTGAACGCTGCGGGGAGTGAACGCTGAGGAGAGTGAACGCTGAGGGGAGTGAACGCTGAGGGGAGTGAACGCTGTGGGGAGTGAACGCTGAGGGGAGTGAACGCTGCGGGGAGTGAACGCTGAGGGGAGTGAACGCTGAGGGGAGTGAACGCTGAGGGGAGTGAACGCTGTGGGGAGTGAACGCTGAGGAGAGTGAACGCTGAGGGGAGTGAACGCTGCGGGGAGTGAATGCTGAGGAGAGTGAACGCTGAGGGGAGTGAACGCTGAGGGGAGTGAACGCTGAGGGGAGTGAACGCTGTGGGGAGTGAACGCTGCGGGGAGTGAACGCTGTGGGGAGTGAACGCTGCGGGGAGTGAACGCTGTGGGGAATTGGAGTTAGGGAGAGGGAAGGGAGGGTTGGCTTAGGGGAGACGTTGGTGTTGTGGGGTTGTAGTCCATAGTGGTGGTTGTGGTGGTAGTGGCAGGTGTGGTGGTAGTGGCAGGTGTGGTGGTAGTGGCAGGTGTGGTGGTAGTGGCAGGTGTGGTGGTAGTTTTTTTTTTTTTTTTTTTTTTTTTTTTTTTTTTTTTTTTTTTATTATTATTATTTTCTACCACAGACGTGGCCAGACATTTACAATGCTAACCAGCATATATACATTTTCTTCTGTCCGCCATGGACAGGGTTAGAGAAGTGTTAAACATACAGTTCAAGGGTTTATTGAACACTCAACCACAGAAGGTGATTCGGTGCTTTTGAAATGCTAAGCTAACCTACATACGTAAATACAAAGATACACAGATTTACGTACGCCCTACATAAAGTATTAGATGTGTCTTTTACATAGTGTCATTAATGTACATTCACAAAGGTGAAATGTAATTCTGATCAGCTTCCATATTTGCTTTATACCCATACATATACATACACACACACACATACACATACATATATACACACATACATGCATTCACATACATTTGTCTCATTTACCCTGACAGGGTGAGGTAGCTGATAAAGAAACTAGTGTGCAATTAAGCACTTAATCACTGAAGGTGATGAAGGTGCTTTTACAAGCTCAGGTTATATAGTTACATCACATACATACATTGTATGATTGATACATTACATGGTCAATTTTGGATACAAGTCCAATATATCATCAAGTGTTCCAGTACTCATATAGTAACTACAGAGTTCAGCATACCTTAGCCCAGGAGGGCGAAAGTCAGTCAGTATGGGACATTCTACAATATAATGTTCAAGAGAGTGCATGTTTTCTCTTTCACAAAGTTGACACATTGTGTACTCGACATTTGGGTTTTGAGAAAGCTACCAGATGCGTCTATATCCCAGGCGTATTCTGGCCACTATAACATCACATTGCTGAGTTCTTGCTCAATTAGTCCAATATGTGAATGTCTCCTCAGGATATTTGTCATAATGTTTAATGCTACAACTCTCAGGTCATTGTGAATTTGTTAGGTCAGTAAGATATTCATTAGATATTTGTTTAAGCATTATCTTTGTCACTGCTAATGAAACACCCATATCAATTTCTACCACTGGTTTTCTACAGGCTGACTTTGCAAGCATATCAACAATGTCATGCCTTGAGATGCCAACATGTGATGGTATCCATAGGAATTTAATTTCAAATCTGTTTTCCTTCGCAGCTAAAACATTCATTCGTATATCACTGACTATTTTCTGGGTGTCACTACTAT